CGTGGGCCAACAGCTTCTCGATCACAAAGCCGTACGTCTCTTGCATTTTGACCAATAGGTTCTCGAAGAATAGCGACGCCTCGTCGATGATCTTATGCAACGACGTCTTGAGGTCCGCCTGTTGTTGTTGTTGTTGCTGTTGTTGGCCGTCGGCGGCGGCTGTGGTGGTGGCGGCGCCCGCCTGTGGCACCGGTTCCATGAGTCGTCTGTACTGTTCGATGTACTGATAGAAAGCCGATTTCCACAGTCTCTGCTCGATGTTGGTCTCGGCGCAGACCCGGAGGTCGTTCAGTATGATGTGTTCGTAGCGGAGTTGGATTCGGTACCGAATTTGTTCCACTTTCTGCGGGTCGTGACAGTAGGACAAGTCGTTCTCCGCAGAGGTGGCCTCCGACAGACTCTTCTCGATGATTGGCTTCAGTTTGCGGCGCGAATTGTCCGCATTCTCCACCGACGCGGCGGACATAAAGTGCGGTATCGCGTACTCGTCCCGTGACCTCAAGTACGGCGACAGTTGTTGGTAATTGTCGACCGTTGCCGACGAGTTCGTGTCCGGCGACGACGACGGCGTGTACTGCAGGTGAGGGTTGTTGTCCGCAGTCGGCACGTGTTGTGTCGGACGTATGGCAACGCACGGCTTACTGGCGTTGACCGGCTGTCGCGTCATGTGATGGCCACCGCTGTGGCCGGCGTTTGGCTGCTGTTGTGGCGGCGATTGTTGCGTCCAATCGTTGGCCGACACCTGATTGTTAGGCAACCGGATGAGCCCCCGATGCGGTGCCGATTCGGTCGCGTCGGGCGCCATCTGCGCGGCCGCCGCCGCCGGTGGTAACTCTCGGAGCGAATCTCGCCGTTGACTTTCGTAATGCATTTGTTGGTTGTGTTCAGACATTTCGTTTTGCTGCTCAAAAAGCGTACAAAAATACGTTATTAATTAAAAACGTTTTGAATAATAAATTCAACAAAAAATGTCTAAATAGTAACCATTTCTAGGTTAAAACACCCCAAAAACTATTATTACTATTAGTCCATAAATAAAATTGAACTATAAGAAGGCATTCAAAATAAAATAGCATTGACTGTATTGCTATACTGTATAGTAGTGCAGTGAAAGCTATTTTATTTTGAATACCATCTTATTACCGGTAGTTGTATTTTTACTGATGGTCTAATAGTTAGAGTTAAGAAATCTTGGTCTAAATGTAAATCTTATACCAAAACAGCACAATATTTAGAAAATATGGTAAAAATACTTTTTTCAATTGTTGTTGTTTGAGAAAACGGGGCGGAATCTGTTGCTCGAAAGTCTTCACGTATCGGTGGTTGTGTTGCGATTTGTTTGGCCCAAAGTTGCGTTTAGGACCCGAAGCTGTCGGCGCGGCGGCGGTAGTGGCCGACGACGGCGTGGCCTCCATCTGGTGCTGTTTCGGCGGCCGAAACGGTTTACTCTCATTGTTTGATCTGTAATTGGCATCGTTTCGATGGTGGCCTCCGGCGGCGGACACTTCACCGCCCGGTTGTGTCGGACCGCCTGTCCGTTGGCCGGCATTCGTGTTGTGACTGTTGTTGGAGTTAAACCGATGATTACCGCTTCGATGGTCGCCTTTCGGGGCCCGATTCGGCTCGAACTCCACGTTATAGTAGTCCTCGTAGTCTTCGTATTTGTCCAGTTTGTGCCTTTCGGGTGGATTGCGGTCCAGATTGGGCTCATTGTGGCGCTCCTGATGTTGTTGTTGTGTCTGTGGTTTTGGTCTCCTGTCCTGTCTGTGGTGTTTGTCCTCTTTATGTACATAATTGTCGGTCAATTCATTGCTTTGCCTTTTATTCAGTTCATAATTGGTTGCGTTAATCGTGTTCTCGTCGTAATGCCGGTCATTAGCGGCGCTTTTGGGCGGCGGTCTGGATGTCGGCTGCGACTGCCGGTCACTCCTGTCGTGTCCTCTGGCGTCCGATCGGTCAGACCTATCACTCCTGTCGCCAGTATTTGGATATCTTTGCCTTTTGTCATATCTGGAGGCCTTCTCGTGCCGATCGCCGCTCTTCTCCTGTTGTTGTTGTTGTCTATCATTTCGTTCAGACTTTTGCCGAGTATTTGCTAAACATTTAAATGTAAATCAATTTTAAATACAAATCGATTCGCAAAAACAGACGGCGAATCCAAACCTGGTTTACTGTTTGCCTGTTGTTGTCGTCGGTTATTATGATTACTACTGTTATCACTGTTTTGGACACTATTTCGTATCACTCGTGCTATCTTTAGGACATTATCGGAGGGAGTGTTGGCCGGAGTGCTTGTGGCGGCCACAGGCCTATCAATGGCGGGTGTCTTATCCGGCGGAGCGGATGCAGCGGTTACGGCAGTGGCGGAGGTTGTGGTAGTGCTGGCGGTGACCACCGGTGGCGTCGACTGCGGCCCCGATTGGCCCACATTTGCCGCGGGTTTGGGCGGAACGTAGACTTTGATGTCTGGTTTCTTGCCATTGCTATTATTGGCGCCTTTATTGCCATTATTAGACTTGTGATCACTTCTGGGATCCGATG